CTGCTGCCGCAGACTCTCTGGAGTCCCGCTCTGCTGCTCTGCTCTCGGGGAGCTGCCGCCCCGCCTGGGGATCTGCTGCCTCCCTCACTCCCTCCCGCCGTCTGCGGAGCCGCCTCAGAGCCGTCCTCAAGGGCTGCCCCTCGGCCCGGAACGCAGCCCGGAACGCAGCCCGGAACGCCATGGCCGTGCAGGTGTCTCTGTGGCACCACTACCTGCGGGCCCTCCGCTCGCGGGCGGCGCCTCGGGCGCGGGACTACCAGCAGGCGGAGAACGTGCTGCTCACGGTGCTGGAGCGGGCGCGCGCCCTGGACCCCCGCTTCCTCGTGGATTACTCCCGGGACCTGGGGGCCTTCCAGTTTGCCCTGCGCTCCTCGGACGGCCCGCTGGACATGGAGGTGCCGCTGAGGGTGGCGGCCGAAGCCCTCCTGGTGGAGGAGCAAGGGGCCGCGGAGACGGGCGATGGCCCTGTGACCTGCCGCCTGGGTGTCCCTAGGGGCGGGGTCGGCCTGGAGCCCTGGACGACTGACGATGTCTTTGACCCCTGCTCGGATGGCAGCGCCCAGTGCTCTGGCCACATTGTGCCCAGCAAGGTCCTGCGCGTCCTCAAGGACCTTCTGGTGGCTGCCATTGTGCACTGCAAGCATCACGGCCTCATAACGCCAGGTAATGGGTGGGACCGTGCTGCACACACGTGAGGGACGGCGGTGCGGGGTGCACGCGTGCGTGACGGTGCGGGGTGCACGCGTGTGCAGTGCTGTGTGCATGTCAGGGCCACGTGGGTGGGGGATGTCGCTCTGAGGCCCCTCTAGTTCTAGGAAAACGCCTTTCACGTTGCTGAACTTTACACCTTAGTAGTAACCTTTTAATGGACGTTACTTTTTAAGCGGCTGGAAACTGACCAGCGTGTCACTTTCCGGTTGATCTGCTGGATGCGGGTCCTGACACGGTGCTCGGCAGGCGGCTCTGTGATCAGTCCCAGCTGGATGTGACAGTCCTCAGCTGTCCCCACACCCACTGCGTTGGAAGGCCTGTGTGCCTGCGTGCATGGGTGTGCCTGCGTGAGTGTGCACACGTGAACGTGGGGGTGAGCATACACACACGCACACACAGGTCTGTTTCGGCTTACGGTCCAGCTGCTGCCTGGTGTCCTGGGCCTCGAGCGGGCTCTGTGGCCGCGTACGTGCAGGCGCCAGGGCTGTGGCCTCAGTTTCTCCTCTGGGGCATTGTTGGTGTGATCTGGAGGATGCTGAGCCCCAAGGTGGGCAGGGCGGGAGGTCATGGGCCTCCCTGCAGCTGGGGCTGCCTAGACCCCGAGGGGCTGGTAGGGCGGGCACAGCCCACGCAGGGCCCAGGTCAGTGGGGACCCAGGAGAGGGAGCCCGTCCTCCTGGGGGTCGGGGAAAAGACGTCGGGTCGTGCTGGCACGCACTGGGGGCCGAACAGAATGACCCTCTCTCACTGCTGAGTGACCGCTGAGTGAGGATAGTCAGCCCACCGCGGGACAGCGGCCTGCCCCAGGCTGCCCAGCGTGCGGAGCCCAGGTCCAGCTGCACACCAGGTCCAGTCTCGGGCCCACCTAGTGGCATGGGGACCTCAGCCACTTGGGCCACAGGACCAGCCTTTCCTGCTAGGTGCTCCCATGGGTCCTGGGGAAGCCGGGCACCGCTCGTGTGCCAACACGGACGATGACAGTGGCCGGGCTTCTGGACAGACTTGTAACACAGGAGAGGCGGCTTGCGACTTGGGCCCAACCCCAGGCCTGCCTGGTGACCCGGGGCAAGTGACCCCCATCTCCGGGGTGATGACAAACATCGCCCTCCCAGGTGGCCAGGACGTCACTGGGCTCACAGAGCCCCACCCACAGACACCTTGTGGCTCCTCTCAGCATGCCAGCTACTGAGGGTGCTCGGCAGGGCCCTTTCCTCCGCCTGTCCCTGTCACCTGCAGGCCCTCCGCCCCTCCGAGAGACAGACCCAGCAGCTGGTGGGCACGAGGCTCTGCCCAGCCCCTCGGGCACATGCTGGGCTGCTGAGCCTGTCCCCACCTTCCCCAGGTCCCCATGGCCACACCCAGGCTGACCACCAGAGCTGGGGATTCCAGGCATAGCTCCCTGACACTTCCCTCAAGGAAGTGTGCCGCCCCAGGTGACAGGGTTCAGGCTGCCCCACCCACCCCAGAAACCGGTGTGACCAGGCCA